AACGCATGTATGATAAGAAAGCAAAACAGCCTTATTGCTGATATGGAGAAAGTTTGAGTACTCTAGACAGAAGATTGAACCAGTCACAATGCTGCCTTAAGCCAAAACCTAATCCAAAGCAAGGGCCTAACTCTCTTCAATTCTGTGAAGGCTGACACAGTTGAGGAAACTACAGAAGAAAAGTTAGAAGCTAGCAGAGGTTGGTTCATGAGGTACAAGGAAAGCAGCCATCTCCATAACATAAAAGTGTAAAGTGAAGCAGCAAGTGCTGATGGAGAAGCTGCAGCAGGTCATCAAGAAGATCTAGCTAAGATCATCAATGAAGGTAGCTACAAGAAACAACAGATATTCAGTGTCGATGAAATCGCCCTCTAGTGGAAGAAGATGCCATCTAGGACTTTCATAGCTAGAGAGGAGAAGTCAATGCCTGGCTTCAAAACTTCAAATGAAAGATTGACCCTTATGTTAGGGGCAAATGCAACTAGTGACTTTTAAGTTAAAGCCAATGCTCATTGACCATTCTGAAGGTCCTAGGGGTCTTAAGAATTATGCTAAAGCAACTCTGCCTGTGCTGTAAAAATGTAACAACAAAGCTTGGATGTGATAGCATATCTATTTATAGCATGATTTACTGGATATTTTAAGCCCAATGATGAGACTTACTGCTCAGAAAAAGATTCCTTTCAAAACATTACTGCTCATTGACAATGCACATAGTCACCCAAGAGCTCTGATGGAGATATGCAAGGAGATTAACGTTGTTTTCATGCCCACTAACACAGCATTCATTCTACTGCCCAAGGATTAAGGAGTTAGACTTTCACATCTTCTTATTTAAGAAACACATTTTGTAAGGCAATCGTTGCCATAGTGATTCATCTGATAGATCTGGGCAAAGTAAACTGAAAACTTCTGGAAAGGATTCACTATTCTAGATGCCATTGAGAACATTTATGATTCATGGAAGGAGATCAAAATATCAACATTAACAAGAGTTTGGAAAACGTTGGTTCTAACCCTCATGGATGACTTTGAGGCATTCAAGACTTCAGTGAAGGAACTAACTGCAGATATGGTGAAAATAGCAAAAGAATTAGAATTAGCAGTGAAGCCTGAACATGTGTCTGAGTTACCGTAAATCTCATGATAGAATTTAATGAATGAGGAGTTGCTTCTCATGGATGAGCAAACAAGTAGTTTTTTCAGATGTAATCCACTCCTGGTGAAGATGCTATGGACATTGTTGAAATGACAACAAAGGATTTAGAATATTGCATTATTATAGTTAAGAGGATTGACTCCAATTTTGAAAGAACTTCCTCTGTAGGTAACATGCTATCAAACGGCATCACATGCCACAAAGAAATCTCATGAAAGGAAGAGCCAACTGGTACAGCAAACTTCATTGTTTTCCTATTTTAAGAAATTGCCACAACCATCTGAAGCTTCCAGTAGCCACCAACCTTATCAGTCAGCAGCCATCAACATGGAGGCAAGACCCTCCCCCAGCAAAAAAGATTAGAACTTCATGAAGCCTCAGATGATTATTAGTATTTTTCAGCCATAAAGTATTTTTTCCTTAAGGCAAGTACATTATTTTTTAGACATAATGCCATTGCATACTTAATAGACGACACTATAGTGTAAATGTAACTTTTATATGCACCGGAAAACCACAAAATTTGTGTGATTCACTTTATTTTGGTACTTGATTTATTGCTGTGGTCTGAAACCAAACCCAAAATATTTCTGAGGTTTGCCTGGATGGATGGATGGATGGATGGACAGACAGATATATAGATGAGGTATGCCTGGATAGAGAAATGTATAGTGTTGTTTTTTGTGTATGTGTTTTGTATAAATAGTGTCATACTGTGTATTACTGATCATCTTTCAATTAAGATTTTTATAAGTTTCCCAGTTAACAACTCTGCTTATAGTTTCATATCACTATTTCTATCTCAGGAATAACTGTGAAGGAGATGACTTTTTTTCTTGGTCTCTGTTATTTTGCTCATTATCTCTCTCATCCATCTTCAATTTTCAACCTCCGCCACCCCCCGTACACACTTAGTGTCTTTTCTGTCCTTCCTCACCCTACCAGTGAGACTCTAAACAAGATTCCTATATTTTGCTTTGAACTTGTCAATGTATTACTTACAAAATTGTATATTAATCCTTGGTACCAAGCATAAAATAAAAGGCTCTGTGCCAGTTAAAAGATTTTCTAGTACCAATAAGACAGTGGAGGAAATATTTTGGGGAGCATGGGTCTCTTCTCTGTCTTAAAATCTCACCCATTGGGTTCCTGCTCATTCTGCGAGGCCACAAAGCCAGCTCTTCCAAATAATATTTTGAAAGAAAAAACGTGCACATTTGTAACAGGACTTACATTTTATTATGGAACCACCTGTCAGAGTTCCAATTTGTAAACTGAAATTATGGGCTCCTCTGCTTAGCCAGGAGCAAGGCAGTGAACTCTTAAGAAGACTGTTCAACAATTATAAATGAAAAGGAGACAGATTATTTGCTCTGAGAAAATATAAAAGCATGTACTCCTGCTGCTGTTATGTGGCAGTGATGGTTGTGACACTGCTACCAAGCCTACTGGACCTAAAATCTCAAGAGATATTGCAGGATGGAAGAGGCCATCAAACCATAGCATGGTCACAGCCCTGGGAAGGAACTGTTGGTCCCCTGCTCGAGGCATTCATCTCTGTTTGGGACATTTTGGATAACAAGCATTAAACAAAATTTGACTGTCAGCGATATATTCCTTCTAGTTTTCAAAGTCATCATCCTGTTGCTGTTCTCTACCTTGAAGAATACGTACCTACTTATTAAGTACCAGGTACAATGCCAGCCATTTTGCATGCTTCATATTTAATAAATCTGTCAGATTTGATAAAGTAAAGATTAAAACACCCGTCTTATGGGTGAGACCATTGAAGTTCAAGGTTGCCTAACGCAAAGTGGTTATTTCATCATTCAAACTGAGAGGGAGTTAACTCCAAAGTCTGTCTGTTTCACTGTACCTTGCAGCAGCTTTTTGTGTCCTCTTATTCACTCAACCAATACTGTACAAATTATTTTACAGACAGTCATGTATAATATTTTGGATTTTCATTTTTTGTGTCTTTTTTGGGAAAGTTTAAAAAATAAGCTTCATAACTAGGCATACTATGCAAATGTACCTTGCCACTTTGGGAATTCTGCCAGCCAAAACCCATTTAAATGCTTGCTGATAGAAATTTTCTTTTCACCAAAAGCACCTGCTATCTAACATAATGACCAATAGCAAGAAGCCACTCAAATAATCAAGGCTGTTCACTGACTAAACTTGCTTCTCTATTCCCAAATTCTTAAATTAATGCAAGTGCTGAGTTTTTTTGAGGGGTTACACAAAGTAGTTCTGTATATTTAACAATGCCCCACAGGGATTTTTGGAAGGGCAATTAGTATTTTTTCTCTCTGCGTATCCAGTTGTCTGACAGTTCTTTTATATAATGCACTACTGTGGTTTGGCCTTTCAGAATTTTTTTATTGTTACAAAATTAGTTATTACTACTGCAAATTATTTCCTGTTAAGATATTTACACCACGTGTAATTTCTGTATACATTTTGTATTATACTTATTGAAAACACAGCTCGCCTAAAATGACCTACTTTTGTGTTTGTAGTATTAATTAATATACTTGCTCTATATTGATGCTTGAATTCATGAAAGCAACATTTATTGTAGAAAATAAGATTGATTTTTCTGGTCTTTCATTTCTTGCCTCAATTCTAAGAATTTTGCTTTGAGAAGATAATGCTATTTTTAAGTCTAGCAAAATATCTTAAGGTTATTAGATATATTCATGCTTAGCAAACTATTCAGAAATTTATTCGAAAATCAAGTCAACTAATTCTTTTGAATTTTGAGTAAAGAATAACATGTATGCATGTTCACAAGGTGAGATACCCCTGTTATTTAATGTGATTTATATTGTTCACATAGCGAAGCTGTTTGTGAGTTTTAGGGGTTATATTTTAGCATGGGGGGAGATATGAAGACTTCAAGACCTTGTGCATGTGCTTTTTTTAAATCCACCAACACTATCCCACAGGTATTTGTGAAATAGTTTAGGGATAGCATTCAGTATGCACTGGTGGCTCGTATTTTTAAAATGCAGGCAAGATATCATTTGTAAATTTCTTGGATTGAAAGTGAGGGACTAACGGCTAAGTTGGCTGGACTTCCTGGGTCAATAGGGACTTCCCTAAGGGAACTTCCCCCCAAGCCAAATTGAGTCATAGCTGCAAGCTAAGGAATTGAAACCTCAACCAATCAAAGGCAAGTTTAAGCTCTAGCCACAGCGATGTTTTTAACCAATCAGGCCCGCCAACCCACAAGCGGAAAGAAAATAAGCTAATTCTATAGGACAGAAAAAGGAAAAGGGGAGGGGTCATAAGGGGATATAAGCATAAGACACCCAAGCCGGAAACGGCAATCTTTTCGGGACCCCTTTCACCGTGTGGAAGCTTTACTTTCACTTTTGCATTAATAAATGTTGCCGCCGCACACTCTTTGGGTCTGCCCCTTTCTCTAATCGAGCTGTAACACTCGCTTCTGTGGTTGGTCCACGGCTTCATTGCCTGAAGCCTGTGAGACCACGAACCCTTTGATGGAGAAAAGACCTTCAATCGGCGAAGACTTCTCGGCTCAAAAGTATCTTCAGAATAGTGTTCTTAGCTGCTCAGACTGTTTAATGGTTCAAATTTTAGAGAACAAAACCTCATGAAGCCACTGGTGATATTATTAAGCCTATCATCACCTTTATAATCAGTCTTTTTGCATGTTTGTTTTATACCCACCTGAATACTAACCAATTTTCATTTATTTATTTAATTTCCCCCAAAGAATGCTGTCCTAGTGTCTTGTGGCATTTTCACAATAGCATAATTCTCCGAGCTTAGAAATGTAAGTTAGTAATAACGTTTTTATTTTGTTTTCCAGAGCATCCGGGCATCGGGCCTTATCCTGTTGGAAACGATCCTTTTTGGGTCTCTGCTCCTATACTTTCCAGTGAGTAACATAATTATGTTTTTAAAGTAGACACTTATGTTGCATACTGTAAAACTACTGTTTGCACGCACACACACGCAAACACACCCTGGTGTTACCAGGAAGTGCAGGAGTTCTTGGCTCTTGTCTTACTTGAGAGAAAGAATTTGGCCAAAAGACAATTAGTAAAGTAAGCAAATGTTTATTGAAGGAAGTTGATGAAAAGAGTCAAACTCTAAAATATTTGAAGAGATTTAATCTGAGCCAAATATGAGAGACCACGGCCCCTGATACAGCCCTCGGGAGGTTCTGAGAGCATGTGCTCAAGGTGGTTGGGGTGCAGCTTGGTTTTATACATTTTAGGGAGGCATGAGACTTCAATCAGATTCATTTGAGAAATATGTTGGTTTGGTCCAGACAGGCAGGACAATTTGAAGTTTGGGGGACTTCCAGACTATAGGTAAATTAAAACACTTTCTGGTTGACAATTGATTGAATTTGTCTAAAGACCTGGGATCAATAGAAAGGAAAAGTTCAGGTTAAGATAAAAGACTGTGGAGACCAAGGTTCTTTTGAAGTCTCATAGTGGCTGCCCTTAGAGACGATAGATGACAAATGTCTCCTATTCAGACCGTTAAAAGGTGCTAGACACTCAGTTAATATCTTCAGGATTGGGAGGGTCAGGAAGAAAAACATCTAGCTATGTTAATAGAGATTCTTTACAGATGCAGATTTTCCCTCACAATGGACAGTTTTGCAGGGCCCTTTGAAAATATGGCACAGAAACATGTTTTGGGGTAAAAGTATTTTATTTTCTTCTTTGTCACATAATGTTACGCCAGAGTCAGATTGGAAAGTAAGACATGAGATATAGGGTTAAATAAAAGCTGATAAGAATTTATGGTTTGTAGGGCATGACTCCCAAGACTCCTTAGATAGGAATTTGTGCAAGATGAAAAAAAAAAAATCAGAGCTTGGTCTTCAACGTACACAGCAAGAGAAGAGTGGGTTGATCTGGGTGGAAAGTAGTAGCAGAGAACAGTACATTCGGAAAGATGGGGCAAAGTGGGCTCCTTGAAAGAGGATGAGCCAGCAGCTCCAAGAGTTCTACATTGCTCTTTTTATTATGTCAGACCCTTTAAGTTCCTGTCTGTGTCTCAAGTCTCTGCCTTTGCCTCTGATTAGTTTCCCACTTCTGCCTCGAGTCCCCACCCAGTTCCCACCCCGGGTTTGTAGGATTCTCCCTTGCTGTCTGTTGATGTTCATGTGCGGCCTAGCATTAGATACGAATTCTACCTAATGGCAGCATTGCTCCTTACCACCATCCCAGGAAGGTCATGTTGTGGCTAAATCTGTACTTATTGCACCTGCGTATCTCTTAGGAATTTCTCCTTTGCCCTCTTTCCCTCTTCTCAGCATGTAGCTAGCTACATTCTGACAGGTTAACTACAGAATGAGTGATCATTGGGCATCTTAAGGGGTGTTTGGGGGCATTCCTTTCTACATAGGTATTTCCCCTCTCTCTGCTCATGTCTAGCATGCAACCTCTGGGGTGCGAAATTTTTTGGACTTCCCTTTTTCAGGGGCTCCCTGCTCCTGCTCATGTCTGGCTGTCTGCTTACTCTAATGCAAGTACTTTACAGATATTTAAATCCCAGTTTTTACCATTTGAGTGACCTTAGACAAGTTACTTAACATTCCTAAACCCTGTTTTTTTCTCTTATAAAATGGAGCTAATTATACTTTTCTTTGCAAATTTGTGAGGAAGGTTAAATGCTTAAGTGTGACTACATATGAAAGGCAAATGTATGCATATGTATACAATTGTATTGGTATGTATGCGTAATATGTACAAATAAGTATCGCTTTCCTTCTTCCTTCCCTTCTACCTGAATCAGAATCATGAGATATACCAATTAATGTCGGAAAAATTGAAATTGTTACATAGTAAAATAAGCATGATGAAATAAATGTATGTATGGTGCTAGTGGCTTAGATAATCATAGTGGACTCTAGCGTACCAGTAACATGTCTGAAACCAGAAGATAAGTACTGACTTGGCAAATTCAACTCAGCCAACTTATGTTCAGTGGTTATTGTGTGCCAAGCACTATGCTAATTTCTGGGAATACTCTATGAGCAAGACAACTTGATTTCTCCTTTCAAGAAGCTTACAGTGTAGAGGAAGAGATGAGTTAATGCAAACAATGGTAATACAATGTGACAAACACGAAGAAAGCAGTAAAGACAGGATGCTGTGGAGGCACTTAGGAGAGATATCTAATCAAGTTTAGGGAATAAAACATCCCTTGGCAGAGACCTGAAAGGTGAGTAGGTGTAAGAGAAGGAAAGGTAGGACTGCCGGGACACTAGATTCTTTTTGGTTTTTGTCTTACCTCACTCCCTGCTCCATCTCAGCCTGCTTTGTTGATTCTTCATCTTAACTCCCACTTCTTCATACTTGAATGCCTCAGGACTGAGTTCTTGTAGCTTTTCTTAATGTACATTCTCACTTGGTGATCTCATCTAGCCGCAAAGTTGAAGTACTATTTATATGCCAAAGACTGCCGAATTTATATCTCCAGCCCAAACCTTTCTCCTGAGCTCCCAGCTCATATTCAGCTGCTTAGGCAACCACTCCATTTGCACATCCAACAGAATTCCCTATCATGTTCTCTACTGAAGCACTGATCTCTCCCTCAGATTCAGCCTTCCAGTGTCCACTGATGGCAGCTCTATCCTTCTAGTTACTCAGGTTAAAAGCCTAGGAGCCATTATTGATACCACTCTTTCTCTCACATTAGAAAACCTTTAAAGATACAGCAAGAATCGACCAGGTGCAGTGGCTCATGCCTGTAATCCCAGCACTTTGGGAGGCCGAGGTGGGTGGATCACAAGGTCAGGAGATTGAGACCATCCTGGCTAACATGGTGAAACTCCAACTCTACTAAAAATACAAAAAACTAGCCAGGCGCAGTGGCGGGCGCCTATAGTCCCAGCTGCTTGGGTGACTGAGGCAGGAGAATGGCATGAACCTGGGAGGCGGAGGTTGTAGTGAGCTGAGATGGCACCACTGCATTCCAGCCTGGGCGACAGAGCGAGACTCTGTCTCAAAACAAAAACAAAACAAAACAAAACACAAAAAAGATGCAGCAAGAATCTAATGAGCCCCTCCCACATTCACTGCTACCACCTGGTCTAAACTGTGATCCACCCCTTCTGGATTGTCGCCATGTTCTCTTACTAGCCTCTCTTCTTCTGTGCTGACCCCTAGAATCTTATCTATTTTCAAAATGTCACCCAGTTTTAACATGAAAATTAGACTGACCATGTCACTCCTGTTCTCAAAATTCCCCAAAGATTCCCTATTTTACTTAGAGTAAAAGCCAAAATCCTTCCTGTGACCTCTAAGGCTTAATGTAATTTGGACTCTGCCCCCTCTATAACATTTTCTAATCCTTTCCCTGCACTCAGTGTTTAGATTGAGTGTTTTTTATTCAGGTCTCAAATAAATTTTTCTATTTATTCTTAAAATGGAGATATATTTACATATAATCAGTGCTATGATCTGACTGTGTCCTCCAAAATTTATGTGTTAGAAACTTAATCTCCAGTGCAATGGTGTTGGGAAGTGGGGTATTTTGGGAGGTGTTTAGAGCCCTTATGAATGGGTTAATGCCCTTACATGTAAAAGGGCTTGGTGGAGGGAGTTTGGCCCTTTTTGTTCTTCTTCCTTCCACACAGCAAGAAGGCTCTCACCAGAAACCAGATGCTGACACTTTGATCTTGCATTTTTCAGCCTCCAACACTGTGAGAAATAAATTTATATTCTTTATAAATTACACAGTCTCAGGTATTTTGTTATAGCAGCACAAACAGACTGAGACAATCAGTATTAATTTTTTCATAAAGTCATCCCTATTACTTAAGTTTTCTAATTTTCTAGCATAGAGTTATGCATAGTAATTAGTAACAGAAGCAATGCAGCAGTATAAAGACCAAGTGTTTATTATTGGTACACTTCCTGTATAAATGGGGTGTCATGCATCTTAACATTTAATCTTTCCCACACAACCCCAGGGCAGATATTTAACCAAAGTCGTCAGATCACCTAATAAATAATGAAATATCTGAAATGACCTCAGTAACCTGATGAGAAACTTTAATTATCTGAATATCTGTGGCTACTATTATCTTTTTTTCTGAACCTCTGCTATTTTAAAATCAATTTTCCACCCAGTAGCCAGAGGGATTTAAAAATGTCAAATCCAGTCTGTCACCTCTTTGATGTCTTCTTTTGACGTGTTAGGTATACTGTGGTTTTTACCCACCTCCCCAGCCTCATCTTATATTACCTTTCTTCTCACTTTCTGCTCTCCAACTACCCTGACCTTATTTCAGTTCTCAAATAAAACATGATCTCTTTCATGGTAGACATAATAATGGTCTTTAACAATGTCCACAATCCTAATCCCTGGAACCTGTTTGAATATGTTAGCTTACATGGAAAAATGGACTTTACTGATATGATTATGTTAAAGACTGAGATGGGGAACTTATCCTGGATTGTCTGGTTGTGACCATGGATCGTAAGTAAAAAGAGGGAAGCAGAAGAGAGAGAACCAAATAGATGACATGGTGAAAAAGATTGGCTGGCATTGCGAACTTTGAAGATAGATGAGGGAGGTTGCAGGCCCAAGAATGCAGGCTGCCTCTAGAGACTGGAAAAGGCAAGTAAATAAGTTCTTCCCTAGACCCTCTACAAGGAAGGCAGCTCTGCCAACACCTTGATGTTAGTTCCTAAGACTCATTTTGGGCATAGGACCTCCAGAACCATTAAATACTAAGTCCATGTTGTTTAAAGCCACTAAGTTTATGACACTATGTTATAGTGGCTATAGGAAACTAATATACCTCTTGCCATAGGACCTCTTCACCTACTTTTTTTTGGTTTTGAAGAATTTTCCTCTTTTCCTTTTCCTCACCACTACCCTACTGTCCTTTAGGCTAATTAGCATATA